GACTGAAAGTTAAAATTTGCCAACATTTAAAAAGAAAAAAAAAAAAATTAAGGATATCACGCGGTCAAAAGTGAGAATGAAAATAAAAAAATATGAGATATAAATATTACAAAAAAATGATTGCTTCTGTTCTGATTGATTATAAAATAAAATGACAAATCGATGATATTACGCGGACAGGAAAACAGTCAAAATAGTCTAATCCATTGCAAGGCAAATCTGGAGTTGAAACTCCAGATTACCACAGTCGGCAGATTAATTACCAGGCTTGGTGATTAATCTGCCGACTTTGGCGATTGACTGAGATGGCCGCTTTAATTCTGAGGTTACCTAGAATTTTTCTTAATTTGATAGTAATTGTAATTAATACGAATTTAGGTAATATTTATTGAAATGGAGGGGGAATAAAAAAATTAGGCTAAAAGCCGCAATTTTCTCAGATTCGTGAGGAATGCGAAATGTAAACAAAACTTCGAAGGCGGAGCTTAGTGACATCATGCATGGGTGGGAATAAGGTTATGACGTAACAGTGGACATTGCATGGACCTTATAAGAGATAGACTAACCCAGTGGGCGGGGCGAGCGTCACCGACATGTCGGCAAGAAAGAGTAGGGACGATCTGGTTTAAACACTGAAACGTATGGTGTTTGTATCACATAACTCTTTTTAATTAATAAATGTGATACTTTGTATAGTGATGAGATTATGAAAGCCACAGGTTTTTCCAAATAGGATTTAATATATATCATTAAAGCACGTTTTACTGCATTTCGCGCATTTTTTTTACGCGTAATTCTTGTACAAATATCTTTACTTTGGGGTCACAAACGGTAAAAACTCTAGGCACAAAATTTATGAACTTAATTTTACGTACAAATAACGTAAAATTAAATGAGATTGATAGTATGTGATGCTTTGAAATAAATAAAGTAAAATTAAACAAATATCTGATAACTTTTTTTTTTAAATTTAATGACCATTTTCAGGCAGGTGATTTTCAAAACTATAATAGCATTACAAAACAATCCCTTATTTGATTATATCATCATTAACATATTAACATTAAAGTGGGAATATTTATTTTAGTAAATTCGGAGCATAAAATTCAGAGCATTCTGAGTGTAATGAAGAGGAAAAAAAGGTAAAATAAAATCTAGAAGCACTCAGATTTTATATTACACCCAAAAGGAACCTTTTTTAACGTTTTGTGTGTTACCTATATTTATTGAATAACCTGTTCTTCGCCCGTAAACTCCATACATTTGAAAACAACATATCTTTAGAATTTCCGCACAGGAAATAAAACTGTTATTTTCCGTTCGGTGCTCGCTCTGAACTCGTTGAGTTTGTTAATCAAAAATTCGTTAAAGTTTTACAAAATATGAAATAGATTAAAACAAATTCGGCCATCCAGATGCCCATGCTCGGGTGGAGGATTACATTATTCAAAATTTAATGGCTCTAGATACTGTCGTTTTTGTCACAGTGCGAGAAACATACATGTATTCATGCAGATTCTTCTTATTCATGCAGATTAATTTCTTTAAATATAATACAGGGCGATAATATTTAGTAACAACAATTTGCAAGGAGACACGGACATTTATAGTAAAACAGCGCAAAATGCCGCTTCGAAACTAACAGCCTTTCTAGGCTACCGCTCATTTGGGCTCATAAATTAAATTAACAATAAATAAAAAAAAATTTATGCAGATCTAAAAATAAATTAAAAAATAATCATTATAAAATACAAGCGAAATTAATTATTCCGGTTAAATACAATTTTAATATTAGAATTAAGTGTATAAAAATTTTTAAGGAGTCAAAAGTGTTTATCACTATGATGTATTATGAAGTATAATTGTAATAAAATTCCTTTATAGAAATTGTGCTATAATACTCATCTATAATTTTACAAAAGCAGCACAATTTAGAGTTTTGAATAAAACTTTCAAAAATTCGTTTTTAAATATTTTAGTATTTTTTACTTATTTACACCATTATAAAGCATAAAAATTGCTTGTTTGAAATTTTCTATTAGTTCAGATTTAAAATATTATTTTCTAAAAGAAGTGGTTATAAATTTCCTTACAGCATAGGAAAAGCTAAAAGAATATCCAGCCCTGAAAGCATGCAATAGTTTTATAATTATTTGGAATGTTAATTATGCTTGATAAATATGCTAAATTTTTAAAAATCAATCTCAATTTCAAAAATAAAAATATGTAGAAATTCTAATTTGCGAAATGAGGCGCTACAACCAGCTTTTTCTTGACAATTATACATGCTGCAATTACTGTCTCGGTGGCAACAGAGATGGGATCAGTGATCCACGGGTCTTCGGGTCTTTAAGTTGATCCCAAAAGTCAAGACGGATACATAGTCCCACACATATTTTATGATGCAGTTTTTAACAGGATACAGGCCATTGCCTCATGTATAAATTTTGCTTTGTATTCGTACATAATGACACCTGCGAATGTGGTGACGTAGGTGACCCTGACCATCTCTTTTTTTCATGCACGCTCAGAGCCCAGTACAGGCTCAAAAAGCCTAATGGCAATTACTGGCTCCAGACTACTAAGAGGCTAAGACAAGACCAGCTAAAGATCAAGGCTGTAATAAATGAATGTGTAATATTGTACGGGGCAGAGCCTAGCAACAAGAGTGCAAATTTGCAGTAACGACCATAGTGGTCCACTTGAGGGCCCTTAGGGCTCAGTGTATATGCACCGGCAGATGTTTGCGGGCTGGCCACATCGTATCTCAGTGACTATTACCAACATTGACTCATCAAACCTTACTAATTAGAGACATCAGCTACCACATGGCTACCTACTTCTGACTGTCAACTGGTAATTACATTGCAATCCATCACCTTCATATGGAGGTGTGTACTTGTACATGAACTACAGTATATAGTGCACAACTCTCAACTAATGTATACTTGCAAAGATCCTACGCTGTTCTGTTTGTACCCTATTGGTGGTAACCAATAGCACTTCTCTATGTATTGTTTGAATTTCTCTATACAGTCAAAAGTCGTTAATCCGGACTCGTCGGGACTTCGGCGATTCCGGATTATCGATTTTTCCGGATTATAGATCATCAGTTTAAATCTGGTAAAATGGCATGCAGAAATTATAAAAGTAAAAATATGAAACCGTAATTTACGAAATAAAGAACAATTATGATCTAAAGGGTATCAAAAATTGACAAAAAAAAGCTTAATATTTATGGTTTACTTTATTAAACATTTCTTTCAATGTAAGTTGTTTCAGTTGCTTCGTTTTTTATGTGATAATACATTCTCTTTAATTCTATAAACAGACATAATTTCTTGTTCAGTTACAAAGGTCCGCTGTTCAAGTCCTAATTATAATGACGAGGCATTTGATTTAAATCATATCAAAGGCGGAGTACATTGAGATGAAATAATACATTGAGTAAGCAATTATAAGCCAAATAAAATAAAAACATCTGCCCTCAAGATAAGGATAGTGCTGATAAATCAACTTCCAATTCATTGCACGCCGCGGCGGCGTTAAAGATAAACAAAGTTTAGATAAACAAACGTTTAAGTTTAGATAAACAAAGAATATGCCTTTATCCATTTTTTGCAGCAATTCCATTTTTTGTTTAATGGACTCCGAAAGATACTTTCGCTTTGTATATCCTTTACATATTAGTAAATATATATCGGAAATTCTATTTGACATAATCGAAAGTTCAAGCTTACTTTTATAAAATTGCTCTAACAGTCTGCAAAAAATAATAATCCGGATCCAATTTGAAGATTAAGGAACAACGCAATCTGCAGCATTAACTGAAATAGATAATTAGATAATTTTAGCTTAGCTTATCCCGTCCGTTATACATTAAACGCGTATTCGTAAACGTATTTTGCGCACGCGCACACGCAAATTCGCAGCGGTAAAGGTCTTACGCGCATGCGCCAACGCGACGCATGCGCAGAAAGTTTGTAGCTTTGAGGTCCGGATTATAGATCATTCCGGATTATGGGTGTCCGAATTAACGACTTTTGACTGTATATAATTGTACCAATATCATATGAATGTATCAATGAATGTCTATTACTAACTTTGGAACTCTATGTAAATCTACGCACTTGTATCTCTTAACCATATCTAATGCAACAACAGTGTATTTCCATATTCACTTGTAATCCCCTATTACTTGATTTATGCAGTATGACAGAGAATGTTAGCACCTCTTCAAGGGCCCCATAACTGTGCCCATGTTGTGAACCCCCCTTTTTTTTTAAGAAATAGAACATTAAATTTGCCATCTCATCGGAGTTATGTTACCATGGCATGGTTTTCTCTGGCATCTCCCAGCTGGGTTGGTACTGGATTCCGTTTGGGTATACCCAGATATCCATGTCGGAAGCCAGCGCTGCGGTTTAAACCCTTTTGTGTTTCCTTTTATTGCTGCAATGGGTACTGATACGGTATTTATATCCTGCTCACACAGAGCTCAAGTAGTGCGGAGTTATCTGGAGTGTGAAACCATTCGACATCTATCATGGTCTGCTAGATCACCAGACTTGAATCCCAGAGCATATGTGGAACATGTTGGGACAAGAGATAGCAGGTCACAGTGTTCTGCCAGGCATTGTCCACAAGCTCTGATATGCATTACTACATGAATGGGCGCTACTACCACAACAAGTGATCAATTTCACTATTGCCAGCTTGCCTTGCCATTGTCAAGCATGCGCTTCAGCTAGATGGTATCATACCATTTATTAGCATGATGTTTTCATTGCACATTCTTCCGGTCCATTTGGCGTTTTGCAGTGTGACGGTTGTAATAATGTGTATTTGTATGTCTGCTTTATTGTGTTTTGTGCAGTGTAGTAACACCACACCAGCCCTTGATTCAATTTCACACATATCCATGAAATAGTTTTTGTTTTATTCCGTGTTTTGGCTTTGTTCCTTACTTTTTAAGCAGGAGTGTATATTGCAAAGTATTTTTAAAAAGTGACTATGTATCTTTTTTGTTATTCATATGACTTCTTTAACCATGATTCTCTCTTTCAGTCATTGTCCACAAGCCAAGCATACAGCAGTTGCTGACACTCCAGAGATTCGAAGGTTGGCTGAAAACACTAAGTTGCAGAGCAATGTGAGTACATATTTAAATAAATAATATTTATTCAAATATTAATTACTTTTTATTCAAATATTTGTTTTCTGGACATTAGTAAAAAATTTTTTTATATATTTATGCCTATAGAAAGTGGATAATCTGCATGGAATTTTTTTTAATCTTGTAAAATAATTTTACTTTTTAAAGTTTCTGTGAAAATATTTGCATGTTTGTGAATGAATAGCAGATTTACATTTTATACCAATTGAGCTATGTCTTGTGAAACAGATTGAAAAAAATGAAATAAAGTTTATTGCCCTTGTACACACATTTGGCTGATTAACAATGTAGATATTGTACAGCTGGTAGAAAATCTTAAAACTGCTAGAGATGTTATTTTGATTTTTGCTTTGACAATACTTTCATAACTCAAATTACTGTCATAAATTATTTTGTATGAGAAGATCAAAAATGTTTTATTATCTCTAGTAGGAATGCATACATGCAAGACTTAGCATAGAGTGCATATTCAAAGAGAATGTATGTTTCAGCATATTGTACTCATGCACTACCTATATGAAGGAAAACTGTAATCAGAATTTATGCACAGTCTGGCTAAAAGGGTTTTAGGACTCAGTCCATTAAAAAAAGGATCAGTGCAGTAATTTTTTTTATTAACCGTTGTGAAGCTATACATCAGTTGGCACTATCCATTAGCCGTTCTATAATGCACTGGAATGCCTCTTAGCTCCCTCATAACATTTTACTGGATCCTTTTGGTATCACAAAATCAGTGGCCTTTCAGCTTTAATTTCAGGTTTGGATACAAAAAGTAATCTGATGGGGGTAAGTCCAGCGGATATTTAAGGTAGCAGAGTTACATTTTGTCTTTTACCAAAAATGCACGAAGCTGCATTGTGAAACTGCACATTGTTGTGCAGCAAGAACCAGTTTTTGTTTGCATGAAAGTCTTGATGTATACATGCAGTGCGTTTCAGTAGCAATTCAATAGACCTATGTAAAATGGGGCATTTGCTGTTTTTCCTTCAGAAACAAATTCCTGGTGAATTCCTCTGCAGTCCATAAACAAGCTTTCTTTGGCAAGTTTTAGCCAACCTGTTCTGCACTCTGTCTTTTCGTTTCTGGGTCATAGGCATCACACTAGTTTTAATCGCCTGTGATGACTTTTTTAAAAGTTCGAGATCATGATTTGCATGCCAAAAAGATTGTTACAAGTCACTACTCAATCATCCTTTTGTTTTGTTGTTAATGAATGGTGAACAAATTGCACTCACAATTTCTATTCTAAATCCTCACCAATTATTACATGGACGGTTTCTTTACCAATGTTTAAATGTTTTGCAAGCATTGTAATCATTAACTGAGGATTTTGGTTTAATGCAGTATGGACAGCTTTGATGTTTGGGCCAGTTCAGCTTGTGTGAGGATGCCCCATTCTTTCATCATCTTTTACATCCTCTCTACTATCTCAAAATCTACCAAACCATAAAGGCACATTAAAATGCCACAAACACTTTTTATTGTAAATGTTCTACATCATTTCATAAGTTTTCCTAGCAGTTTTGAAACAAAACTTTATTGCACAGCTCTGTTCCAAATAGGATTTCATTAACTATATAAATAACATTCAAACACCAAATTATAATTTTATCCTTAACAACTCAACTCATCCAAATCTAATTAGCAGACTAGAATCAAGATATTTTTTTAATGACATAGTTCCATTTATTACAAACACATAGCCCTATTTAATCGGCCTTAAAATGTTTTAGCTAGACCTTTATGTTGTGTAGAAGGAAATGTAACATCACAAACATTGAATTCAAAAGTAACTAAGAGTGTAAAATTTGCAAGATGTGATTTCTAAGGTTTAGCCTCTGCTTATTACATACAAAAAGGGCCTTTTCAGGGCAGCACTGGTGCCAGGCATATTTGTCACTTAGTGCAGTCTCTTCAGAACTTGTATTTTGCTGCCTTATACCTCCCTAAATTCAAATCAGTTTGCCCCAAATTCTTCTGCTTAGTTGCTTCTCTAAATTCTAAAAATTTTATCATCCTTAACTCTTGTTCATTATTTCTTTAAATTCTAAAAAATTTTCCACTCCTAATTTATGTTGCCTGGTGCAGCCACACTGGTTACTGTTTTTGAAGCTGGCCCTGTTTTGGTCAAGTAGTAATCATTCAAAGTATTTTCCCCAATTTACGATTTTTTGAAAATGACCAAAGAGAATCAATGGGAGTGTTAATTATTTTAATACGTGAATAAAAGGTTACTTTCATGAGTATATTGCATCAACTCAGAAGTCATAAATTAAAAATTATGTAAATTAATAAATTTATTTTTAAATACTCCAAACTGTATTGATAATTTAAATTGCAACATAAAGGACTTTTAATAAGAGAAGAATGGTGGTACTATTTATACTTCCTTGTACAAAGTAAAGGAAGTATTGTAATCTCGAAAAATTTTTGGGACTGCGATAACCTCCTTCTATTACAATTGGAAGTACCGAAAGTGTATATATATATGAAATATAAAGGAAAGTTATTAATTTTAGTTTAGCAATAGTCCTTTTAATTCCTCAATATACCTACCCCTTATCAAACTTAACCAGCTTTTATGATCACAGTCATTGTTCGTAGTCACATACTTCCCATTACAGAGTATTTTAAATGATGAAAATGTTCCTGTTTTTGCAATATCAAATTTTAAAAGAATTAATTTGGAACAAGTAGCAAAATCTAACTTTTAATGCAGTCTTTTTTTTTTTTTTTTCCCCGGTACTTATATATGGAAAAGTTTTATATTTGTTATGAAAAAATAAAAATGCAAGAAATTTGGTTCTTGTATAACAAAAATTAACTGGGATATTAATTTAAAAATTTGCAATTTTTGATCTCATTTTCTATTTCCCTGGAGGAATCAGTTAATTAAATTAGAGAATAAGTTCGGGAAATGCATTTTAATGAAGTGCAACAAAAAATGTGTATTAATTAATGGTTCTTATAAGGAAGTTGTGATGTCCACATCAGATTTTTTGCTGTTCTAAAGCTTTAGATTTAATACAAATTTCTATCCTGTAAGATAAATTTTTTCTACTATGCACATACTGAAAAAGAAGAGAATGTGTTTTTCTTTCTACCCCCCCCCCTTCTTAATCAGCAGAAATTCTTGAAACATGGGCTTTTTAATTGTGTGGAAGCTTTTCCCCTTTTGAGTCTGTTGATATCAAAGATAATTTACTGTTATCAGTAGATAAGACATTTATTGTTGATCTGCTTTCTTTTGAGCAACCACAGTGTACATATATCTCCTTGATATGAAAAAGAATTTAATGATAAAGAAGAGATGGGGCATTTGCTAGCGACAAATTTCCACTTTTATTTGAGCATCCATAGTGCGCAGTTTTATTTACAATTTAAAAGAAATCGGAAAAAGGGAAAAGTGGTTGCTTTTCTCCATATTTTTCAGTATTAAAAACATTTATTGATATTTATGATAAAGATCAAAAAGTCGAATTCTGAAAAATATCTGATATGTGATGATAGAGATTTTCTTTTTTTTTTTTTTTTATGTGTCAGACAAAAAAAAATAGACATTCACTCAAAATCTTGAAAATATTGTATCAAAGTTCAAAATAAGCATTATTTAAAAATAGAAAGTGATTATTACAGTTTTAATGCTACCTGGATAATTCGTATCACCTTTTAGCAACCCTGAGAATGACTACATATGTGCTTTTATAAACTTGGACAAGTTTTTTATTTTTCTTAATTTTCTGTGGAGAATTTAGCATTCCATGTTTAGTTATCTATTTTAACTTCTGAAATAATCTTCCCTCCCCTTTACACTTGTGTAATTATTAAAAATTTCAAGTGTTACTCAAATATTCTTTTTCGAATTAAGTTGAGAAAATGAACTTCAAAGCACAGGAATTTAATTGTGTGTCTCATACTAAATTTAATTTTTCTTTTTAATAAATATAAGTAGATTGTAAAAAAATTGTTCTTAAATATGAGAAACTCGGTTAACATTCGAAACTCACATTTCAAATTTTTCTTTCACTGAGCACTTTGTAACATTAAGTTTTTCCATTTTCTTCTTCTTCTTCTTCTCTCTCTTTTTTTCCTAAGTATGAAGAACTGGAAATTGATTGGGATTTGAGTTTGGTTTAAAGTTTATTTCATGTAATACATTTTTAAACGTTCTGCTTAGGCTTGGGATTACTGACAGTTACTTCTGAATAGCATAATTTCTATTCAAGATATAGATTAGTATTTGTCAATATTTTTACCTAAAAGGATTCCTTGCTGGAGTCTGATTGTTGAAGAAGGGTATGACATCCTTAGATTCCGTTACCTAGAATGGCTCTTAGTCAAAGGTATGATGAAAGAATTTAAAAAGATCTTACTTTTGTGTCATCCCAACCACCTTAGTAAAAGTCACCAAATTTTTAGAATGCCTAAAACTCTGGCGATTACGCTTTTAACACTCCTTCGTTTAAGTAATGTTGTCATTTTTGTATGCATTCTTTTTGTTCTGTTTTAAGTCCCAACAGTTTTTATAAACAAATCAAAATATTTACTGCCTTAAAATATTTGTTTGAGGAATTTGCCAAAAATGGAAGAAACTGCAGTGAAATTTCAGCATTAATACAGAATTTTTCCAAAAAGTATCTGAAGGAAACAACAAAGAGATACATTTGGTAGATAGCCAGTGTTGTCAAGGTTTTTGTGATGCTGAGTCTTTGTAGTTCACAGTCTGGTGTTTTTTCAAGTGAAAACGGATCTCTGTGTACTTGGGAAGCATAGCTAAAAAGAGAACAAAAAATTGCAGAAAGATTTGGTTTCGTGGCATCAGAAAATTGCAATTACAGAACTACATTACAGAAAATTTAAGAATTAAAGTCACAGTTATTGAAAAAATTGCAGAAAGATTTGGTTTCGTGGCATCAGAAAATTACAATTATAGAACTACATTACAGAAAATTAAAGAATTAAAGTCACAGTTACAGAAAAAATTGCATAAAGATTTGGTTTAATTTACAGATGAATTTGAAGGCAGTAAATTTTATTGCATTAGTTTTGTCATGTTATAATTTCTTTTTATAGTTAAAGTATTTGACTTTACATTCATATTCTTTCATATATAGATGTTTTAGATGATTTTTGCATACAAATCATTTGTAATTCTGTGTGTATATCTCACATCATGGTAGTCCAGTTTTCTTGTACAAGAAATTAAGCTGCTTAACCGTTTGACAGGCAAATCAATTTCTATCTCTGTTCTGCAAAATTCCTTTTAAAATACATGCAATTATGACTTTCAGTTTTCTAAATGTATAGCAAATGGCAGCATTAGTATTCATTCATAGAATTAATGTAAAAAAAAAAAAAATCTGTGCAGGTCTTATTTTGAGCCTTTTAGAAAAAATAAAAAATATTATGCAATTTAAATTGTCTGAACAACAACTTTTGTTAGTAGAATGAATATTTTATCAGAAAGTTTCCTATATATTAATTAAAAATGGTCGAAATTAAAAGGTGGGATGTATTTAGGAAACACTGCCACTAGGTGGCAGCACCGTTCAAAATCTAATTCAAGTGTCATGTTCATTTCATATTAGATAATGAGCTACATAATAGCATAAAATTTTTTGTTAAATGATTTGGCATTTATATTTCATGCAGCAAAAATAAATAAATAAATAAAAAATTAAAAATTAAAAAATAATAAATAAATAAATAAATAAAGAGGTAAGAAAAAGATCTGCTTCTTGCAGTATCAGTAATACGGTTATAGCCAGCAGTTTGTGATTAAGTTTTATTTGGAAAAAAATATTTATAAAGCATTATTTGAAATTATTGTTTGCAGACTTGTTTTTAAACATCATTAAATATTGTTTGAAATTAATTCATATGTTTATAGAACTGTTTTTCCATCGTCAGAATCACTTGGCATACTAGAAGTAGGCTTAATAACTCTGATTAATGGTTTAGGAGTAGAGATGTAAGACCAGATACTTTTATCTCAGATTTAACATCTAGTTATAGACAAATTCTGTCTGTGATGATTTTTTTATATCTTGCTTATGAGTAATTTAATTATTAGAATAACATAAAGTCTTGTATTAAAAAAATGCTACACAAGTATTAAGGTAGAAACTGAATGCAAATTTATTTATTTGAGAAATAATATTTTCTTAGAATAAAAGTAATTAAGAACTCAAAAATGATTTTCATAATGGTAAGCGGTATTTTTGTCCAAATATTCCAGGCCTTATATTCTTATTTGTTTCCTATTGCAGCTTTTTAAAGAATGAAAGCTGCTGAAATATTACTTTGTTTTGGAAATTTCAAGCCATCACATGAACAAAATAAAATTTGAAGTCATAATTTCAATACCTGTATATTTTTTAAAGTTTATTTAATTTACATTTATATTAATTACATTTAGCAGTGGAAGGTCGAATTCTCTATCTAGCTCAAAATGATTATAGTGAACAAGCTTTGAAATTGTTTTCTTGCTTCTGTTTTTGCATCATTTTGTCATAAAAAAGTTTTACAAAATCTTAAGTTACCCTGTGATAAAATAAAAATTTTAAATTTGTGACAGATCTATGGAGATTAAAATATCTTTTTACACAACTAGTGATTTCATCAAAAAATTAAAATATCTTTTTACACAACTAGTGATTTCATCAAAAAATGTATTTTGTTTGTAAGATAATTCTGAGTGAGATACGACAAATTCAACTGAAGTCATCTGCTTTATGAAAAATGGAAAATCAGTGACTTTAACTTGGTATATGATTTTCAATCCTCCTTTGATAGTTTAATTATATGATATATAAAACTTTATTGTTACTTTTCAAACATTAACATATTCAAAAATGAATATTCTGTGCATGGTGTAAATATTATCATTTATGTATTGAGAAATCTAGATGGTGGATTTTGCACTTGTACTTATTATGGAGACCATGTGTTTTAGACGAAAATTGATTTTTATAGGTAAAATATCATGAAGATTTTGAAAAGGCAAAAGGTAAATTTACACAAGTGGCTGATGATCCTGAAACACTGAGGATTCGCAATACTTCTAAAATCATCAGCAATGTCTCTTACCATGGGGAGCTTGAAAGGAAAAAGCAAATGGAACAGAAGCGTCATTTGGTTCCCGAAAAGAATGGGGTTCCTGTTCCAATTAATGGTAATTTTATATAATTATTTTTTGCCTATATAATCTAAATTTATATTGTCTTTTGTTTGTCAGTAACATGTAAATTTTTATTTTATTTACCCTCTCTTTCTCTCTCTCTCTTTTTTTTTTTTTTTTTTTTTTTTGTTCTGTTCTGTTCTGTTCTTGTGTGAGTGAGAGAGAGAGACAGATGTATGCTTGTTTTAAAGCTATTTCACATATTTAACATGTTAATGGAGAAGTATTGGCTAATTTTTTCAGTAATTTGATGCAATTAGTTTTTCTTTGTTTCAGGTGAAAAATGTTTAGTAGTTGCTTCTAAAATAGCATTGAAGGGTTTTTCCCACTTAGTATGACTTCAAATGGTATCTTGCTGCACCCCCCCCCCATGTTCTTGTTCCACCATTTTGAAAAAATCCATACTCTTTTGATATTTTGCATACTAACTCCGGAACGTGGATCCACAAAATTAAATTCGTGATTGGCTTTGAAAAGCTTGAAAATGGCTTTTTAGAATTTTTATGTTATATAGTTGGCCTAGGAGTCGGAATAACTTGGTTGTTCCTTTCTTATATTATTTTCTTTGATTCCACTTAACAAAGTTATGGCTTTTCATTTGGGCATCGTAATAAGAAAGGTTTCTCTAGTTTCTAACGGATACCACTGAAAATTCTTTGAGACTGCAAAGCCTAAACAATGTTATTTTTATTTTTGAGAACAGGCTTTCATCAGTGTCTACAATTAAGTCTTTGCCACCTATTTTTTTATTTTCTTGACTCTGCATCTCGTAGCTGCATATTTCTCTCAAATAATCGTTGCAGTTTCTAACAATAGTATCAGCAATGTTGAGTTCTTTCATTTAAAATTTTATTCATGTCATTTATTTAGATCAGCAGTAATTGAATTTGATGGCAGCAACAAATGGCAGTGTACTTGTTGCAAACTGCAAATTCAAACATGGACAGTTACTTGATAGTATATTATATTCTCTTGTAAGGAGCTAATAGCATCACCTTCATTGTTAGATCCCATAGATCCATGATTAAACTATAAACTCCAAAAGGTAAGTAAATAATAAAACTCCATTCTTAAAACTGCAGCTTACAGGCATTTTTAAATATTAGTGACATCATATGACTACAATAGCAATGTTGTGTTACAAGTCATATGTTTCCTATAATGATCACTTGTGTTATAGGTCTAAAGTTGGATGACTGTTTGCTAAATTTTTCCAAATTTTGGTATTTTCCTCTACCACTGCAAATTTTACATTTTAAATTCTTACAGCGAAAATAGGATATTCCCCAATCCTTAATGTTACCGCAGGAAGGCTTTGTTATCAAAATAATAAACTCTTGATTCTATGTAACAACAATTCTAAAATGTGTATATTTTAGAATTGTTAAATGCAGTATTATACAGGTGTGAGTGCCTAAGTTTGTAATTATAAGATTTAAAATATAATATTTAGATAATGGAGTTGTATGATTAAAATGTGTACAGAATATGATGAAAATATTTATTTATTTTTTGTTTTTTAACTTTATTTTATTTTACTGACATAGGAACAGTAGGCAAGCATTAGTATCATTAAGGAAGTGTTATGCAAACAATAGCAATTAACAATAGCAAACAAACCATTTGGCATAATATTTAGATTTTTTAGATAGTGTTTCTGATAATAAAGTACTGAAAATAATCTTATACTTAGATGTATCAACATATTTTGATGAAAATATTAATGTATGGGCAATATCAGATCCCCCCCCCCCAAAGAAAAAAAAAAAAAAAGAAAGAAAGAAAAGGTAAAGAACAAAATTTGGCTTTTAATGTGGTCTCTTAGTTTTTATACTTATATTTTGAAAAGTCTAGACTCGTGAAAAAATAAAAGTATGAGAAGTTTGACTCCCATAAGACAAAAATTAAGTGGGATGTTTAAATTCAAACCCTGTAATTTTTTGTCATTTTCAACTTAAATCTATGAATCAGTTAATTAAATTAGAATAATTTGTTAAAATAAGTTGAAATAAAGTGCAAGGAAAAATATGTATAATTTAATATGCCATACAAGAAAGTCATGTGATCTCCACATCAGATTTTTGTTGCATTTATTTTTCTATTTAAAAATAGCTTTTATCAGAATCACATTATAAATTGCTGAATTACCTGAATCATGCATTATAAAGCAAATTTAAGTCAATTTGTCTTTTGGAATGATACTCCTCTGTAGTGTGAAAACCTCTTAGACACTGCTGTTTTATGTTTGAAGGTTGGCCATTGTATGTTCATTATCTTAAAATCAGTTTTTCAGTTATTTCTTTTTTGTGTATTATTCCAAATTTTTTTTTTTTTTTTTAGTTCAGCATACAAATTTTAAAAGGTTTGCATAAAATTATAGCTGTAAGTGGATATAATTACATTGTTTGCTGACAAAAAACATAAACCTTTAGAAAATGCTTGATTATATCAATGTAACTTGTATAGCTTCTGTGTGGGAGAAATGCAGAAATATGTCCTGTACTACAAAAGATTAGAGTTTAAACGTAAATTTATTTATCATAAAAGTAGATAGAAAGTGGATTTCTTCTTTAACTTTAAAGAAACTGAAATCCTTCTTTAATAATTATATAGTTTAAATTTTAATATTTTCTCTTTTAGAATTAAGTGCAAGAGTAAAAAAAAAAAAGTGTATGCTTTAAAAGCCTGCATTACTTTTTAGATGCCTTTATAAGCTATTTGGGATTTTTCAGTACAGTAACTGTTCTAAAACTTGGTAATCATGTGTGGTCAGAGAAGTAAAATCTTGCTGAATATTTCTGCATATATTATTCTTTTGTTTTTCTTTTTTTGAAGGGGGGGGAGTTTGTGATCAATGGTGGATATTTATTTTAAAGTAAGTCAAAAAAAAAAAAAAAAAAAAAAAACAGTGTGCCAGAATTCTTCTAGTTAAAGAAATTTGAATTATATTTTTTAAATCAATTGGAGGCCTGTTTTTAGTGAAAATGAGGGATCCACTTGATTTTATTCATTGGTTTTTTTAATTTGAATACTTGCTTTTCACTTTTCTTGTTTTAATCATCTTGATTTTTTTTAACTATTTGATAATACATGGCTAAATATTCTAAAATTTTCTAGGTAGTGGAGAAATTAGCAGAAGTCCAGATTTTAATGAACGTAATGCTCCCCACATTGGTAATTAACATCTTCAAATTTTAAATATGTCGTATTATGTTTGTGTTCAAAATCTTCTTTTTTTGTTTTATTTGTGTACTTGTTTGCATCACCATGCTTATTTTAAACTTCTATTAATTTATGTCCTACAAATTTTGGTGGTGATGGTGCTTTGGGAAACTTTGCTTTTTTAATGTAAATTCTTAGTACGCTGGTTAGGAATTCTTTTATTGAAGGAATATCTCAGTGAAAATATATTATTTTGATTAGAAGATGATCTTTTTTGGAATTTACTTCAGATAGTTTAAAGTGAACAGATAATTTTTAAAAACTATATTGTTGAAATTTTCTTTAAATGCTGCAAGAATTTTGAATAAATTCTAAGCAATTTTTAAAGTTGTTAGTAGATAAAGAAAGCTGCATTAGCAACTTGTGGTGATGTTCTTGTATAACAGTAATCTTAACTTTATTGGTTTGTAAAAAATAACTTTGCATGTTATACATAAATAATTTAATATGCATCATCTAATCTCTAAAATGTTTGAAAGCATTAAATGTAATCAGAATTGTAAAGTATATTTCATCACTTATTGCCAGCTCTTGTTTTCTTTCAAAAAAGAAATTATTTGCTTTCTCTAACATTACTTTGGTTATGGCTTTTCTCAGCATATACATATTAATGTCACCATCTATTGAACAAAATGTTCGTAAGATAAGTAAAAATTCACTGAATCTTAACATGCTTTGGAAATTAAAAATTTTTTTGTTATTATAAAATGATAGCTTTAGAAACTCTTGCAAAGTGAAATTTCTTATGTTGCTGTTTTTGCAAATTTCTGAGAACCTTTATGTATCAAATGTCTGAAACTGTATGAAATCAACAGTCATTCCCTAAATACATAGCATTAATTTATTTTTTTTATTTTTATTTGTCCAAAAGGGCTTTAGTTTTAAAACATGATTTTGCATTGTTTCACTTTTCATTGGAAGCTGTTGCCATTTGATAAAATGTGAGATGTTTATTTATCTTTCAGATTGCATCTCTCTGTTACAGATTAAGATACTAAGCTATTTAAAAGCAATAGATGCAGTTCTTAAAAAATTATTTTTTATTTTTTTAATCTGATTGATTAAAATAAAAATGCATGGAATTCGAGATATATATAATTAAAAATACTCAATATTTTTATAGAATGATATTATACATTTCCCCCCCCCATTTTTTTTAACTGTACATAAGATAAACAGTGTTCCTGTATGGCTGTAATATTTTATAAAATATTTCACTTTTCCACCTGAGCCATCTCTATTAATAATCTTTTCTGATAAACCATAATATTAAATTTTAATACAGCTCTTTTGGGTGATCATAAAAATCTGAATCCAATCAAGTTTTATTTTTTATTTATTTACTAATTTTTTTAATACTCATAATAGAAATAATTAAGATTATTGAAGTATTTTAAATGTTTGTGGCACAACGTACTTTTGCTTGAAGATGCTGCAAGATCTTGATAGAAGTTATCAAACTATAAATACAGTTTTCATTTGAAGTTTAAAATTAATTTTGTCAATGTAGGAATACATTGCAAAATGCCTTTGTATTTTGCCTGTTATCAATTTGAATTGTGGTGACATTAATCTGTAAGAAGCATTCTTTTTTAATTCCTGTGTGCTGTGTGTGAACTGTGTGTGCTCTAACTCTCTCTTCCTCAAAACCTCCAGCAGCCACATCCCAGCCCATACGACCCCAGTCCCCTCCTGGCCGGATTGCAGATTATGAACCTCAAATAGCCCCAGAACATAAAGATTCGCCATACTCTGCCAAACTCACTTCCACTGTCATCTACACTTCTCAAGAAGGCCCAGGTATATAAGGATTACTGAAAAGAAGCTGTTGATGTTTAAAGATTAATTGTGTTATTGTGAACTTCCAGAGTATTTTTTATTCCATTTATTTCTTTTCACTGCTTGTAAAATTTCACAATTTAAGATTGCTGAGCATGACAAGATTTTAACAAATTAATTTTAAAAAAATTATTAAACTTTTGTGTAACATTACCTTTAATACTTGTCGTTACCTTAATGGAATTAAAAGTGACTTCATGTGATTATCATTTTTACAATTTAACAAACTTTAAATGAACTAGTGATTGTAATGTAGAAATTACTACATGACAATACCCTAAAATATGCCTTATGATCAATAAATAAGTAATTAAACTTATTTTAATATATATAGATGTGCGCTAGCATTTTTCCCCTCTGCTCTCTTATTAGTACTAAAACCTGATGTTTTACTACTTGTCAGTATTCTTTTGTTGAATCTTCATTGAATAATATTATGAAAAAATTTGTGTCCTAATTTTTATTACATGAAGATCAATTATGTTATTTAATCCTCTAAGTGGTTTGAGTTTTTGGATAAACATCATTTTTAGCTAAATTGTGAAATTACTTATTTTAGTTTTAATTTTCATAAACTTATTAATGATATCTACATCATTAAAGAAATTAAGAAAGGAAAATATTTTAAATTATAAGCTAATAATATACCAAGTGGCAAAAAATCTCATGACCTGACAAAAGCGGTTATGCCACTCGGGCTTAAAGCAACTTTCATCAAGATTGCCACCTCTTAAAGTTTTAAGTGACCTTTTCCAAAATAGTAGCACAAAATTATGAAGGAAAAAAATGCCAGTTTGTTCTCTTTCAGAACTTTCAATATTTATTTCGTGTTTAAAGTGCAACCTTACTAGGTAAAATATGCAAAATTGATTTTGCTTTGAGAATCAGGGTTTGAAATATATTTTTACATGCATTAAACTTCACAAAATGTTTGACATTTATTCTTATGAAGAAAGTGATGTGTGAAAATCATGACTGAGTAAACATTTAGTCAATTATTTTGGGTAAGTAGTCAATTATTAGCAGATTGATTAACATGTAGTCAATTATTTGGTACATATCTATTGTAACAGCTTTCTAATAATTGATTTCCTGACTCAGATCATTTTCTAAAGAATAAATCTTAAAACTCATCAGGAAAGGAAAAAGTAGGATGAAATCATCTTATAGTTAAAAGAACAAAATGATTTGACATGTGTAGGGAAACTTATTTGAGATATTGTAGTATAGCAGAAGATCAAAAAATCTGCACTGTTTCTGACTTGGTGTTGGGTGGATTGTAGAGTTTTGGGAATTTCAGGCATAAATGAAAAATTGTTGGATTTAGACTTAGAACAGCCAGAGTAAAAATAAGTTAATAAAAAATGTGTATGAGGACAATTAATTTCATTTTGACATTTTAATATAGAAATATTTTTTAAGTATATTATCATGAAATTATTTTTTACATTTTTCAAACATATGTGTTACAGTGGTTTGTTTCAAAACTTAAGAATACCTCGGATTTGAGTTTCCCCTTTACAGTTGTACAGAATCGTTATTTCTTGATGAATCACACAGCTCTATTGTTTTTAATTTGCCTTATCACTATCCTGTGATTAATACTGAGTTTATTTACAACTTATCGTCATAATGCGGTGAAAAAGCACTTAATTCTGGCCATAATAAAATTTCAAAATTCTGATACTTTTCAGTTAATGGAAAAATGTTTACTTAAATGGTGGTAAAATGTTTGCTTAAAATATTAATGGCAACCTTAATAAAATATGTAGGTTGGGGCAAAAGTCATGGCAACTGTTTCTTTTTCTTGAAGATACCAGTCCGGTTGAAAAATATGACATATACAGACGAAAGAACAAGGTCTTAACTACATGTATGGACAATGAATAGCACTGAAATATCGTAACACACGAATTTATTATGGTAGTATACAGGGCAATATAGCCTTCACAGTGCAAAAGAATGATAACACAATAACATAAAGCTGACATGACAAACCTGGACCTAAAGACCCTCAATGTAGTCCCCTGCTTTCACCACATGCTGCCAACGATGTGGGAGGTGTTGAATACCATCAGCCTCAGCATTTGCTGCACCATGTGTGAATCGGGTCATCTGTTGGCGCACAGCATTAGCAATGGCCACTTGTGTTCCAAACTGCCTACCACGTATTGGTTCTTTAATCTTGGGAATGAGATCAAAGTCACAGGGCGAAAGGTCAGGAGAGCACCGGTGGGTGCTCCAATTCTTTCCATCCCCAAAGTCGGAGTAGCTGCCGTACACACTCTGCTTTATGTGGTCTTGCATTGTCGTGCAAAATTATTGCACTGTCCACAAGATCCGGACATTTATCCTGAACACCACATCGTACCTGTCACACTAGGAAGTCCCTGTAGTACTGTGCGGTCACTGTTCTGGCATGAGGAACAAAGTGGCAAACAATAACACTCCTGACGCCATACGCGACGATCACCATCAATTTGACTGGGGAAGGATTCTGATGCTAGCTCATTATGCCATATCCTGTGGACGGTGGGTTTCTCGATGCCACTTGCCCTTTCTAACTCCAGTAATGTTCCATCGTCTGTCTTCATCCATGAGGTGCTCGATGACGGCCCGTGCCAAATCGGTCCGCACACTCGCAGGTCGTCCCGAACGTTGCTCATCACTGGTTGACACACGTCCTTGCTGAAACTTTCCTACCCACCGTGCTACTGTACAATATGGTAGGGCATTATTCCCAAGGGCTTCTACTAATTCACTGTGACATTCCATCACATTTCTTCCTTGGAGAACGGCTATTTTGATGTAAGCACGCTGCTCAACACGCATTACTTCCATCTCGCACGGCACTCACCAACTGACTGATTTCAGAGCCCTCGCTATCACTGAGCCATCTGTTGTTCTGCATACACACTATGCCTGCAGAACTTCCTTACGACACATATACGTTTTGTGATCCGTTCACATATCTACAAGAAAAAAAAATAGTTGCCATGACTTTTGCCCCAACCCTCGTACATTTAAGAAACATTGCTTCTCAAGAATACAGTTGTACATGAATATCTGTGAATATTATTACAGAACCTTCAATAAATGATTCCATTGAACTAGATCTGGTATGTAGTTGTTTCTTTGGCATGATTTAGACTCTTCATCATTTGTTAAATCCATCTTGGTTCCTTTGTTAATATCTTGGTTCCTTTGTTCCAGTCTTGTGAGAAATGTTTGGCATTGTTCGTTATATAAATTTGCTACTGTTAGGGGACATATTTGCAGTCATTTTAGTTCCTGTCTACTCATGGAAAATTACCAAAATTTCAATAACTGCATTGTTAAGTTTGATTAAACAGCATAGGGTTGATCTTCAGTTATTGATACAAGTAAAGTGAATTTGACAAAATATTCATTTGGCTGTAGTTTTTACGATCTCGTCAACAGACTATGTTATAAGCTTCATGATGATGTTTTAATTCTGAATAAGGAAATATGTTATTTTTATGTCCCAATGAATGCTAGATGTTCTCAAAGTCATCTGCATTCAGTTGCGTAGTTAGAGTGAGACGAGGGAGGACATCTGCCCCAGGTGCATCATCCAGGGGGCACCAAAATGATATTACAAAATTTTAGAATGAAATATTTTGCATTCTTTGCACACAGAAGGGGGTGCAAAATCTTCAATTGTCCCTGGGTGCTGAAAACCCTAGCTGTGGCTCTGTCTGCATTCATCTCTTAATATGGTTGTGCATATTTTAAGTCATTGGATTTTCAATCTTCTACTGTATAAAATTATACAGTCATAAGTCGTTAATTCGGACACCCATAATCCGGAATGATCTATAATCCGGACCTCAAAGCTACAAAGTTTCTGCGCATGCGTCACATTGACGCATGCATGCAAGACCTTTACGGCTGCAAATATGCATGTGCGTATGCGCATAAAACATTTATGCATGCGCGTTTAATGTATAACAGATGGTATAAGCTAAGCTAAAATTATCTAATTCAGATAATGTTGCAGATTGCGTTGTTCCTTAATCTTCGAATTGGATCTGGCTTATTACTTTTTGCAGACTGTTAGAGCAATTTTATAAAAGCAAGCTTGAACTTTCGATTATGTCAAATAGAAATTCCGATGTATATTTACTAATAATACGTAAAGGATCTACAAAGCAAAAATATGTTTCGAAGTCCATTAAACAAAAAGTGGAATTGCTGCAAAAAATGGATAAAGGCATATCCTTTGTTTCTCTCACCATTCTGAAATCTGTTTATCAATTTCACGCTGCTCTGCGGCGGCGAAGGGGGGAACGTCACGTCGCGCAATGAATTGGAAGTCGATCTGTCAGCACTATCCTTATCCTCAGGGCAGATTTTTTATTTTATTTGGCTTATGATTCCTTGCTAAATGTAGTATTTCATCTCGATGTACTCTGTCTTTGATATGATTTAAATCAAATTCCTCATCATTATAATTCGCTTCCGATAGTGAAGAAAGTGACACAGAGGTTATTGAAAACGAAAAAATTTCGATTGACAAATTAGTCGGTATTCTCGACACAGCAATTATAGGACTTGAACAGCGGAACTTTGTAACTGAACAAGAAATTATGTCTGTTTATAGAATTAAATTCACATAAAACGAAGCAACTTACATTGAAAGAAATGTTTAATAAAGTAAACAAATAAATATTAAGCTTTTTTTGTGTGTGTGTAAATTTTGATACCCTTTAGATCATAATTGTTCTTTATTTCATAAATTACGTTTTCATATTTTTAATTTTATAATTTCTGCATGAAATCTTATCAGATTTAAACTGATCATCTATAATCCGGAAAAATCGATAATCCGGAAATGCGCGAAGTCCCGACGAGTCCAGATTAACAACTTTTGACTGTATCTGTTGTTTGCCATTAATATGTGATTTATATACCACTTCCTTACCTCACTTTCCTTACGTTTACTTTTTATGGCCTTTATTTC